TCATCCCATTGGCCTCAGCTCAGCCATCCAGCATATTCAGATCCCTCTGTAGGTCCTTCTGTATTGACACTTCCTCACAAATTGGTGTCATCTGCAGACTTATTGAAAGTGCACTCAATGCCCTCATCCAGATCATCAATAAAGATATTGAAAAGGGCATGCCTGAACACTGACACCTGTGGAACACCAGAAATGACTGGCTGCCAGCTGGATTTAACTCCATTCATACCCTGGGCCCAGCCATCCAGCCAGTTCACGACCCAGCAAAGAGTGTACTTGGTGTACCTGTCCAAGCCATGGGCTGCCAGTTTCTCCAGGAGAATACTGTGGGAGACAGTGTCAAAGGCTTTGCTGAAGTCTAGGTAGAATACATCAACAGCCTTTCCGCATTTGCAGGAGGTGTCTTCTTACCACTTTCAAGTAGAGACTAGCAACAGGTTTCTTCTGTCTACTTGCAAGAGTTTGGCCACTTTTGCAGTCTTGGAGTCCGGAAAGATCAGATCCAGGATGTTAAACAGTGCAGAGAGACATACAGACACTGGGCTGGGCAAAGAAGAATCTGTTTGGAGACATCCACAAAACTGTCCCATTCCCACATCAGTCAAGTATTTAACTGGGAAAGGATGTATTTGTCAAGATAATTGGCTTGCCTCTGGTTGGCTCAGCGTTACATGTTCCTCTAATGTAACGTCCTACAGGCCTCTAGATGTGAAATTTCCAGATCTCCCAGGGAGAGAGATGTGTTCTTCCATTTAATGATAACAACAAACTTTATCTGTTATAAAAATATGCCTAAAAAGCAATGAACCAAAAATAAAAAAAAAATATGTCATATTATCTTACTTCTTATCCAGCTAGATAGCATCTGAGATTCTTAACAAAAAGGTTACTGAATGCTAATGAGTAATTTAAATAAACAAACAAAAACAGAATAACAAATGCAAACCTCAGCGGATTTAAAGAAGCCTTTTTAAAAACTACTTTTTACATTAGTGGAAAAACTGTAACGTCTGCTGTAAGAGAAATGCTGAGGTACTGGAATAGATCATAGAATCGTTAAAGCTGGACAAGATCTCTAAGATTATCTATTCCAACTATTATCCCACCCCCACCATGTCCACTAACCACATCCTCCAGTGCCACATCTCCATGGCTCTTGAACACCTCCAGCGACAGTGACTCCACCACCCCCTGTGTGGCCCTGTGCCACTGCCTCACCACATCCTGAAAAGAATTTTTTCCTAATACCCAACCTGAAATCCCATGATGAAACTTCAGGCTGTTACCTCTCACCCTAAAAATATGGCTGTTGTACTCCTCTCACTCCCTGGCACACCTCTCAGATGGGGAAGCATTTCTGTGTGTGACTTTATGAACGTAAAAGAGTGTGAAGGTCAGGAATTAAAATTCTTTCCCTGGTTGAAAGCACCTCAAGAACTATTTGACTGACACGTAACATTTATATTATTTGCTTATCTCTCGGCAGAAAGGTGATCTACCTACCAAGAAAACAGCCTTCCCAAAGGAGAAATATTTAAAATATAAACTAAAAAGATCAGATATTAAAAAAAATTTCACAGGAATACCCAGAAAACAAAATAAAAGACAGCAGACAAAACTTTTACACCTTCTTCTTCAGTTTATGCTAGAGCATGAGATTTTCTCAGCCTACTGAAGCACACAGATGCTGTTAAGCACAAAAATAATAGTCTCACCCCCATATACAGCACAGCCCTGACGTGTTAAGGCCCACCTGCATGGCTACAGCCTGATGACTTGCAGGGGGAACATGGAGCATGGAGCCACGTGCTGCCAACACAGTGGTGCTGTCCTTTGTCAGTAAACACCTTGGGCAGTGCTAAATTCCATGAAACCAATGAGAAGCATTCAACTTCAGTAGCTCCAAGTGAAGTTATATCCATATTGCAATTTCTGCTTATTCTTCAGACCTCTCGCAATAGTGATAGTCAGAAATGGAAGAAGAATTCTGTTGTTGCCCACTTATGCCTCACAGGACTTGCTGTTGGGGCTGGGATCATAGTAAATTTCAAGCTGTGAGGGGTCTGGAGCACAGGTCTTATGGGGAACGGCTGAGAGAGCTGGGATTGTTCAGTCTGGAGGAGAGGAGGCTCAGGGGAGACCCCACTGCTCTCTACAATGACCTGAAATGAGGTAGTGATGAAGTGGGGGTTGGTCTCTTCTCCCATGTTACTAGCAATAGGACAAGAGGGAATGGCCTCAAGTTGTGCCAGGGAAGATTCAGATTGGATAATAGGAAAAATTTCTTCTCCAAAAAGAGTGGTTAGATGCTGGAGTGGGATGGCCAGGAAGGTGGTTGGGTCACCGTCCCTGGAGGTGTCCAAGAGACATTTGTTGTACTGAGGGACATGGTTTAGCGAGGAAATATTGGTGGTATGTGGATGGTTGGACTGGGTGATTTTGGATGTCTTTTCCAACCTTGGTGATTCTATGATTCCACAAATCTTTATTTTATTAATTCAGAAATATTTGAATATTTGAAGTTCTTCATGAGAACTGTAGGCTATGGCAGTGTGTTGTCAACTGGAATATGAACAGCAAGTTTGATAGTCGTGTTTCTTCCTCTTCATTGAGGAAAGTGACACAGGTTTCCCGCACTAAGCAGTGTGCTGTTTTAAATATAGAAGAATTAAATGCATGTTAATGAACACATCCCCCCACACGCACATGCTTTAGGCATAGTTATTGTGTTACCTGCTGAGTGAGTACCTAGTAAGAGCTCTTTGGAGATTTTGTGTTAGCAGAGATTTGGCATCTTGCAACAGAAGTGGGATATGGCAATTTTTGAGAATGTAGGAGCGAGGGATGGCTGTCAGTAAGGGGATGCTGGCAGCCACACCACATAATGCAGCTTTGTGTGCCATGGCTGCACTTGGGCCTGCTAAAGGCCTCAGCAGATGACAGTGGACAGCAGGACATTTCCCTGAGTGTAAGTAACAATTATGAGGTGCTTTTGGGTCCAGAAACCTAGTGTCTTTACCTGGTGTATTTCCTTTATTTTTTCAGATGAGCAGCTCAGAAGAGCTGGGTTCATCTCTCCAGATCAAAGCATTGCTTTACATTTCAAAAGAAACAGCTGAAAAATGCATCACACCCACGTAATAACAGGTGCCACTGCCTCCATCGTGTCACTTCAGTACAGGTTTTCTGCCAGGGGCTTAAATGTGCTCTGCTCCTCCTTCACTGGCACAGCTGCTCAGAGAAGCTATGGGTGCCCCATCCCTGGAGGTGTTCAAGTCCAGGTTGGATGGGGCCCTGGGCAGCTGAGCTGGTGGGGGGCATCCCAGTCCACAGGCAGGGGGTTGGGATTGGATGATCTCTGAGGTCCCTTCCAACCCAAACCATTCTGTGATTCTATGATACCTCTGATTTGGACTCCATCCTGAAAGGCTTGACTGAAAAAGTTGCCCTAAAATGCACTTAGCAGAGTCACTGTCACTATTTCTCCTGTAAATTTGGAAAGATGAGAGAATTTTACACCTTCTACACAGCAAAAGCAACAAAAGCACCCAGCTACATGTATGGGTGCCATGGCAGACGAGCGGTATAAAAGTGAGTATGGGTGAAGTTTGCCCAACACTGAGCCCTTTCACAAACCGGATCACCGTGAGCTCCAGCTCAGCCAACACCGGGCCCCAACCGCCGCACCTCCAGCTTTATCGCTGGAGCGAGTACTGCTTCAGCTACTGCTTGTGCTGATATTCCGGCACGCACACGCACACCGAGTTCATTCAGTTCCGTGCTTTACAAACCTCCTCCCCCACGCAAACAGCGCACACTCCGCTCTCCGCCACTACCGCCCGCCGCGGGCCGCTCGGCGATACGGGGAAGCGCTCCTCCCGGGCGGCGCTGCCGTCCCGCGGTGACTCACGGCGCTGCGCCGGGGCCGCGCAGCCGGAGCGGCCGCTGACTCATCCCGCGCGGTGCCGGGCGCGGGTGTGACTCACGCGGCTCCCGCCGGAGCGGGTTGCGGTGCGGTGCGCTGAGGGCTGCGCGGGGTGAGTCACCGGGGGGCAGAGACTGACGCTGCGCTCCTATCGCTGCCCGCCGTCGCGATTCGCTTCGGGTCGCGCTACGACGCTCCGCTCTGAGTACCGGACTCGGTATCCCGCACCGCCGCTACAGCCCGGACGCTGTGGGGACTCCTTTGCATCACGCGGCGGCTCCGTGGGCAGAACGCTCTCTGAAAGATGAGGGCACCGCGCTGCTCCCCCGCGCGAAGGATCCTCGCGGTGCTTCCCGCCTCCCGCTCGGGACAACAGGTGGCGGTCGTTCAGAGGGACGGACTTTTGGAAGCGGAGACACGGGGAGGGACCTCAGGCCCCGGGGAAGACCCGAACAGCCGGGAGCGGGCTCGGTGCTCCGCCCGGGGCACGGGGAGCACCTAAGCGGTGGAGCTCCCGAGATGCGAGACCCAGAGCGAGGGCAAGGATGGGTGGGAGAGTAGGTGGGATGCTCTCGTCCTGCAGCACCCCGCACGTCCCGCTACAGCACGCGACTGGCTCGGAAACACCCTTCGTTGTTCCGAGCTGAGGGCGGCGCTGTGGCCCCGCTGCCCCGCACGGAGCGGCCGCAGGTTCGGAACCTGCACGGGGCACCGCGGCACCGCGCGGAACGTTCGGATTGCGAATTTTTCAACAGCCAAAATGAAATGACGGAGCGGTCGCGCCAAGCACATTGCGTCGCTAGTAAATGACTGAAATTCCCATCGGCGTGTGCCGAACTAATCTCATTCAGTATTTGCGGCCGTGCCTCACTCTCACCACCTGCAGCGTCCTCCCGACGGCGGTGCCAATGACGGCGGAGGTCGGGACCCGCAGAGGAGCGGCGGGGAGTGATGTTACCACGCGTTAGGAGGGGAGCCCCGCGATGCCGGCGTGAGGACTGCAGGCTCCGGGGCAAGGCAGCCTCCGCCCTGTCCCGTCCCGTCCCGTCCCGCCGTGGGACCGAGCGCTACTTACGATGTCGGCGGCGGCGGGGACCCGTGGGGCTGCCGTGCCCGCTCCCACTCCCGCTGCCGGCCCGGCAGATGCGCTCTCCCCGCCCGGGGACGGCGGCTCCGCGGCCCTGCGCATGCGCCCCTCGCCGGCCGGAGCCGCTCTGCGAGGACGGGGGAGCGGAGCGAGGCGGGCAGTGGGCGCCCGGCGGGGAGAAGTGCCGGAGGGAGCGGTTGCGCGTGTGCGTGCGCTCGGGGGAGGTAGGTGGGAAGGGCCGGAGGGGGAGGTGATGCAGCCACCGGGCTCGCACGGCTGCTTAGGTTTTCAGAGGTTCCCTAAATGAGAGCCGCGTTTGTACAAAGCGGGAACGGAGCACGCCCGCACGTTAAGTACCTGCAGGGATGCGTCCTCCCGCCCGCCCCCTCCGCCCGTCGCTTACGGCGCGGCACCTCCGGGACACGGCGCTACCGGGGGCAGCCGGGCAGGAGCCGCCCCCTCACCCCGCGCGCTGTGCCGGCGGGCTACCCCGGGGCCGCTCTGTAGGGGCCGCTCCTTCCCCGCCCGCTGTGCTGCGGAGTCCGGAGCAGGATGGGGGACGTGGGAAGACGGCGGCTTCCCAGCGGCGGAGGGGGAGGAGGAGGAGGAGGATGGGGCGGAGGCGGCCCCGAGCGGTACTCACGGCGCCGAGAGGCTGGAGGGCAGCGCGGGGCTGCGGCGGCGCGGCTCCGTGGCACGCCGGGCATCTCCGGCGCTCCGGGGAGGGGCGGCGGCGAGGCTGTGGCAGCGGTGGAGCGAGGAGGGGGGCTGCCGGGGTAGGCAGAGCCCAGCGTCTACGCAGGAGGGCGGCGAGCGGGCAGCGGGGAGCCGTGCCTCCGGGGGCCGGCAGAGCCGCCCGAGGCAGGGGGCCGAGGCGGAGCACCGGGGCGTCTCGACGGGGCGCGCAGACGAAGCGCGGGCGGGGCCGGTGGGAGGGGAGCTGCGGGCGGAGGAAGGGACGGGAGAGCACCGCTGAGAGCGGGGAAAGGAGCCCGGCTGTCCGCGGGGGCTGCGGGGTGGCGGGGTGGGAGCGGGAAGGTGAGAGAGAGAGAGAAAGAGAGAGAAAAGATGTGATAAAATAAACAGCCGTGGGGGTTCCTTCCAGCTCAGGATATTCTATGATTCTGTGACCCGCGGGACAGAAGGAAACCGAGCGATGCAGTGAGCGCGGCCGGAGCGCTAAGGCAGGAGCCACCGCGGCAGGACGCTGTCCAGGGTGCTGAACCCGCCCGGCTCCACCTCGGGGCTGCCCCGGCTGCTCAGCGAAGACGCTCCTGTTTCCCAGCAGTAAATCAATACGATCTTCCCCTTTCCCAGCAGAACTGCAAGGTCCCAAAGGGGAGGAAGTCATCCTACTACAGTATAAGCCCAGAATCGGAAGATGCAGAAATTACTCACGCCATTCAGATTCTGCCTCCCTTTTCTCTAGCTGCAGTTTCTGTCTTTTCCAGTTCTGGGCTCATTTTATTTACAGCCTTTCTACCTTCCCCTTTTCTGGCCCACAGCCATTTGTCTTGGCATCAGAGAGAAAGAGAGGAAGTGAGGCCTGCGTAGTATGAAGACAGCCTTCCCTGTGGTGGTGTGTTCTCCCCCAAGGCCTACACCATTGTCGCAACACTGTTGGTGTGAGGAGAAGAGGCTTGCCTGAGTTGAGGCTGCAGGGAAGCTTCCACTCTGGCACACATGAAGTCTGCTGTTGCTTGGCAGCACAGGGAGCTCCCTTAGGTCTGCTGAGAGGGGGGAGCTAGGAAGCTGGACAATGTTCCCAGGAGAGAGGAGACAATAGAAAGAGCATTTCCACTGCATAGTGGCGAGAAGGTCTTCTGGAAATCTCTGCCTTTTCTGTTGTGGCACAAAGCATGTGACTGGGATGTTTAATACATTTAACTACTGAATTATAGTTGTCATGGCCTGGTCAGGATCTATGGAGATATCACAGGCTTGGCAATTAGTATTACATGGCCCTGCCTCACTCCTTGGCAAAGAAAAAGAAAGACTCAGTGAGGGTTCAAGCTCTTCCTCTGTCTTGATATCAACAGCAAGACATCTGCTTAACACCAGTGGCCTCTGCCTCCAGCTCTCAGCCATTCTGCGGGGATGGGCTCAGGGCAGTAAGCTGGAGTGAGTCCCTTAACCCCTCTGGCTAAGCCCAGAGCCATTTTAACAAGGGCACAGTGTAACCCTTTGGGAGGTATGGTCTCACTCTGTTTCTCTTAGGGGAGGAGGGTCATGATCAACTAGCACCTAATTAATGATAGCCAGTTTCTTCAACATGAATAGCAATAGTGAATAGTGTTGGTACAAACAGGCATCTTCCTCTCCTTTCTCCTTGACTAATGATTGCAGGCTAATGTTTGGCTGCATAAGGCAGGACTACATAAACGAGAGCCAGAACTTCTTTGAAAAGAGGCTTAAAGATGAGGAACTTCAAAAGTTGGGATACAAAGATTCATTCCCTTTCTTTTCCTAAAATGAGTTTGAGCATGCATTTTTCATGTTCTTATGGGAACGCAATTCCCTCGGACATCAGAGAAACTTGAGCTATATTTCCACCTCTGTGACTGCACACCCAGTTCCCACTGCTGCATCACTTCTACAGGTTAGTTCTACTTCACTAGGACAGAGAGAAGGCAAAATGTGTACACCTCGTCAACCTATTTGTGAGTCCCGAGTCTGGGTCTTGGTTATGTGCTGGAAAATGCATCACAGAAAATTGACCGTTTACACATGAACTCTGTATTTCATAAAATCACCACCTTATCCCACATAGCTGCACCTCTTTGTAACACACAAGGTAAATATTAAATCACAACTCCATTTCAATATTGATATTATCTATTACGATATAAGGCATTATAAATAAACACATCCCTATTAGACTCTCATGAACAATTGTGGAAATGAAGGAGCCTGCAATTATTATCACAAATCTGAACTGTAACTTTTAAAAAATTTGTTACCATTGAAAATGTTGAGATCATGATATAATAAAGGCAATATAGAATGTGCATCCATGTTTTAGTAACATTATTATATTTCAGCATTCTGTCAACCAGACTTAAATGCCATATAATGACGTAATGTCAAAAGCTTTTATTTGTTGGTTTGCTTTACTTTCAGGTTCTAGGATAGACTGTGGGCCCCACTCCTCAACTTTCTCTCCTTGCCCTCGGAGAGCTTTTGCATATTTTCACGTGAACAAACAGGTAGCCTGGTTGCTTTATGTATACCAATCTATTTTGCTGTTTCCTGCTCACTTAGATTGTTAAGTAGAGATTTTCTAGACTGTTGAGTGGAGCTGATTCATAGTGCATTAGGGAGCAATTCAAACAGAGGTAAGGAGCCATGTTTGCCTGTTTTCACTGACATGAAAGTGCCTTTGCCACAAATTACTTTGAGGCTTTTTTGGGAGCAGAAATATTTTCAGAAGTAAATTACTTTACTTGAACTTCTTAGTTTTTTTGTTTGTTTATTTGTTAATATCAGCAATACTCTATAAAAATATAAAATTTATTTTATTCATTAATGAAAACTTAAAATGTAAATATATATTTACAATCTTTAAAGATGCATTTGAATTAACCATATTTTGCAGTGAGCATGTTGCAAATGATATTCTGGGAAATGACTTCCTTGAACTTTTAGCTATTATTGTTCTTTCAACATTAGTTACAGGTGAAAGCAGCTTTCCTTAATGGACTCGTTAGTAGTTGATTTCAAACAGAAGACTTAGGTTCAAGGCTGATGGGAGGCAGAATAAACCAGAGTCTTTCAGGATGTAAAACAAGCTATACAGCTGCATGGAGCAGTCCACAGAGAAAACTTACCCTACATGCAGGGCCTTCATGTTAGTGCTTGATTTTTTCACAAACATTAATGGAAATGCATTCATTTTTCAGCCAAATTTATTTTGTATTGTGAAATTCACACTGGGAAGAAATTCCTCCTATGGTTATTTCATTTACACTGTGGAAGTGTAAGTGTTCTGTAGGAGATATGTAAAGCACGGAGTTTCTCTTACACTTTTACTGGTGCTAAAACTGGTGGTTGCACTGTCAGGTGACTGCATTAATTTGAAAAGTTATTGTGATTGTTACACTTGCTTAGATCTCAGTGCAGCCAGAATTGTTTGCTATCAATGGCTCTGCTGAGAACTTTGCTGATTATTACGGCTCCATAAGGTAGTTTTACAGGGTGATGTGCTGTCACAAGGTTGGCTAAGACTCAGTGTATGTTCTGCCAAAACGATCAGGCTGCATTTCTTTCTGCTACATAATGATTATTTTTACATACTCTTCTGCCAAAATTGCACCTCATTACTTGAAGATGTGGCTCTGCATGCAGTTTACATCTGAACCCATAGTGACTGTTTTGTTTTAGATAGTGGTGAAAAACATTTCTCCAGATATGTCAGAGATACTCTTTGGAAACCAAAGAGTCAATCCACAGCTGGTGTGAATCACAGATCTATTGAGTTCTGTGGATCTCTGAGTATTTCTATCAGTCAGCGCCTACTCTGAAGTCTCAGGAAGTCTGGAAATCAGCCTCTGCTGTCTCCACTCACAACCCTGCTCCTTTTCCACTCCTACATATCACATTTTTGTTATTTCTAAGGATGAGGCAGCTTAAGGAGAAAACATTTTTGAGCCGGAATTGACTATTAGAAATAAGGAGTGGCATTCCAGTAACAGCAGTGAGTGCTGCATTTTACAGCATTATTTAACCAGGGATGGCTCTGCTCCTGTTGTGGCTCCCATCCAGCTGATGCTTGCAGGCACCATAGGGTGTGCAAGCCCTCGTACTGAGGTCTGGGGCACATCCCATGTGCTGAAAAACCTCGTTGACTCAAGAGTTGCTGGCAGATTGACAGGCAGACTACTCAGGGAGCTGGTGGCTTGTGCAAAGAGCATCTAATTACAGATTGCAATATGACATGTACAAAAATGAAATTTCTGCTGAAGTCAGACTGCATTAAGATACTATGCCATTCTTCAGTTTTGCCAACAGCCTACTATGCCAACATTTAGTTTGCTGCGTTAGGCCAATTGATGTCCCAGTGTATTTTGTCTGACCCTCTTCCCTTTTCTGTGTGAATAAGTAGTCAACAATGAAATGTTAATAGCATTTTTTTTTTAAATATGAGCTTAACATACATCTCTAATTCTATCCTACCTTTTTTTCTTTCTTTGCATAAACATTTGAATTATTTGTAATCATTAAAACCCCTACACTATGGAGTTGACTTTTGAGGAAAACTCTTCCATCAGGACAACGTTGTGCTGCTACATGTCCCACTGACATTAGGGAATAAGTGCCAAAGATCTGACAAAACATTAGCTTCTACATGTAAAACCTATGAATTTTCAGATGATGGAAGTTGCTCAAGTAACTCTCATATCAAACTTCCAGAAGGTGTCACTGTGCACCTATGCTTTGAATGGAGAACCTCATCAGTTGAGGATTAATAATGTTACGTGCCAAGCGCTATTCCTACTGGGGGTCTTTTTTTTTCTCTGCTCACAGTGGAAAGCAACCAAACTAGATTTGGGAACAAAAAATGTTTTCCTCTCTTCATGATTAGTAAAGGAAAAAAAAGGTATCAACGTCACTCAAGAGATTCATATCCAGCCATGACCTTCAGAAATATTCCCAGTATTCTGTGTCATAAGTAAGCTAATTGTTATGCAGACTCCTTTCTATTGAAAAATACTAAATATAGTTAAATTATAGAAGAATCCAAAAGTGACATGACTGCAATTTTAAGGTCTGCTGTAGGAATGCAAGAAAAACTGTTCAGAGCAGAAGCTGTGGAGCAAGATAAACAGCATGAGAACCAAGGACACCTCTAGAAGAAGAAAACATCTTACGGCTCTGATTGGATAAGCACCTGTGTGAACGGTTGAAGATTGTTTTGTAGAATGCTCTGTTGGCATGTAAAGGTGGATGGGAAAGTTGTAGGGGTGGATGGGAAAGCTAGAAAAAGAAAACTTGTGAAGGTATATAAGTGATGTGAGAACTTGTAATAAACGATTTGGATCATTCACATCTGAGTCCGATCATTAGATGCTGCAGTCTGGAAAACTACAAAAGTACTTTGTAATTATATTCCAGAGCTGATCCAGAAAGGAAGATTGATAGATTAATTTAGAACCAGTACTCCTGAACAGCTTGGTTTTTCAGAGCAGTATCAAAGTGCGTTTAGAGACCTGGTTGCACAGTGTGACTGCACTGTAATACTGCGCCTTGGCAACATTCCTAAGGAAGACCCCGGGACTTGTGCTACTGATTTGTAATCAAATTTTGGGCCAAAGAAAATCTGGAGGAATTTGGAGAATGATGTAGAATGATTAAAAGACCAATGGGAGAAAACATCATTCACTTGCCAGAGGGAAGAATGTGAAAAGACACGATGGCTAAAATAAACCGTAATTCCTTTAATGAAGAAGAAAGAAAGAAAAAAAAAAAAAAAAAAGAGGGCAATAAGAAACTGCAAAAGAGTGAGTATGATGTTAAAAGAAGTCATATCACAAACTAGAATACTCTCGGCTGGTAGATGCTGGCACAAAGAACAAATCCTGTGTTTGCTTCACTGCATGGTAGTTTGAGGTGGTGGCTACTAATGTTACTCCATCATGATCTAGGTGTGCATGTCCTTGTTTGTTGCAGGACAGTTGAACTAGATGAACTTTAAAAGTCCCTTCCAACTCTAAGGATTCTATGACCCCATGATTCTGCAATATTAAAAAAGATCTTCAAATGATCATTTGAGGAAGGAGAGCAGATCTGATAGGAATGATGGTGAGCAGCAGTTATGATTCTATTTGAGAAATGGAACACTTTAGATGGTATTTGCCCCAGCATACTAAATTATCAATGGCAGATAACAAGGACAGATTTGGGGAGGCTGGGTTATCCCTATTAAGTAGATATTCCTATGAAATTAAGAAGAAAGCCCTGTGGCTTCCTTAAAAAATCTCTTACTAATCTTTCTCAGAGAAGCCCTATGTAAACTTGCCCACATAAGCACACACGTGTAGATTACGCAAACTATGACTTCAGATAGCACAAATTACTGCTTCAATGTCATGCTTGATTTAGGCTTAGGGGCAGCCTCACAAACAGTGTTGGTTCCCAGGCCTTCTTTAATGCCATAGGTACTGTTATGGACACAGATGAATGAGCTTTTGGGGAAGGCATGTGATTTTTCCCATGAAGTCACATTTCTCTCATCTGATGCTGAGAGACACAGGCACTCCTTCCTGCAGGCTGGTCTTGTTCCCTGGTCACCTATATACCCATTCCCTGTAATCACAGTCAAAAACACAACACACTTTGCTATGAATTCTAGAAATATTTTAAAAGAGGGACAACAGAAGCTCCAGATGGGTAGGAACAGTTTTATATCTCCCCTTTATACATTGCTGTTCAAAGCAACTCATTAAGAGATCAGATTGATGGCAGTTTCTCTGTGATACTGCTGTTTCTAAAGACCACCTCCTTCTCCTAGGCAGACCAAATGTCCCTGCCAGCTTCCTTTCTGCAGTTCATTTCAAACCTGTCCAAACACTTGAAAAGACAAAAGGGTCCAGCCTGCAACAGCCTGCACTTTCTTCTATGATCCATAACAACTTTATGTTATTTCTCCTAGTGATTTGAAAAGGCTGGTGGAAATCCAGTGGAGCTTGGCTTTTCTTTCTGCTTAAAGGGTGCCTCCTTACCACACAGTCTGATACTCAAGAGAGCGCAGATTTCTATGAGTCTGAAACAATTTTGCAGTCTGTGCATGCCGTTCTTGATCAGGTAAATCATTCAAGCACATGCTGTTCCGTTACTTAAATGAAGCATATGCACTCGTCTGCACAGGGCCTGTACCAACACAATGGGCAGTGCAGCAAGGAAGGCTGGTCTGCCATAAGAACAGCATCAGATATTTCAGTGAACAGCAAGTAATTCTAGTTTGAAGAAGTGTCCTTGTCATTTAAGGCTCTGACTCAATTTATCAGTCTTTGACAGAGAGCCAGCCTGCTATTCCATGCCAAACCATCCAGATGATCTGGATGAAAATGCAGAAACACTCCTTACTGCTCTTATTTAGCACCACTTGTGTGAATTTGAATACAAGTTCCAAGTACCAGAAGCTACAAGGAGTGTGGGTGTCAGAGCTTATTTGCGATTCTCAACTCCAGGATTGGTAAGGAGTCCCTGAAAGGATATTCCTTTCCCCAAAGATGTTCCCAAAATTGTGTTTAAACCAACATTTTTGGTCATCAAATGAGACTATGCTTTTTATTTCAAAATTAAGCACTGCAGTTCAAGAAATTGGATACATTAAAATATTACAACCCTCTTCTTTTCATAATAAATGCTTCAGTTACAGAACAAACACTTCATCTTATCTCCAAGGGTGATCCATGGGTTTTGCTCTAATTATCCTGATAGCCCCCGAAGGAAACAGGTAAGTTGAAAGAATCAGCCAGAGATGTCTTTGCCCTTATTGAGCCCCAAGACCTGAAAATCGAAGTGCCCAAACATTTCTTTGGAGTCAGTGCTGGCTGCAGGGGTGGGCCATGGGACATCACAATCAGTCAGTATAGAGGCACAGACCCACCAGGAGCCAGACTCCACCATTGCACATGTTCACAGATCCTTTCCATTTCACAGGTGGCAGCTTTCAGCACATCTTTTGGATGTAACTATTAGAGAAAAGCAACATTCTGCCTGCCTCAGAGTTAAGTTGTTATGCTTGTGATGAAGCATACTGTTCTCTATATGGTACAACACTGTGCTCCATTTCTCTGTGTGGACTCTGAGAAAAGTGTGATGGGCTCTTCCCTGCATATTCTGGCTTGGCAGAGGAGCCCTAGCAACCTGGAGATGGGCTTTGAAATAAAGGTGTTTATGGTAGGGTTTAATCATTTCCTTTTATATCTTGCTTTTGGCTAGACAAAGGTGATTTATAAAAAGATGTAACTAAACATGAGCATAGAGCTGCCCTGCTTTTGCAGGACAGGGGTCAGAAAACATAGGACTGGGTAAGTTTTGAACAGATTGGAAGAAACATTTATCTGTTCCTGGAGTCTTTTTTTTTTTTTTTTTCTTTCTTTTTTTTCTTTTGTGGAAAGAAACTACTGTGAAAAAGCATGTTTGTGATTCATGAATTTTGTGTCTTTGCCTCGCTTGTGGCAAACAGGCAGCGTGTGCTGTGTCCAGATGGGGAAAGAATAAAGTCCTCTTCATTCTCACTACACATACAGAAACAAATAATGGATTTAACCTGCAGACAGGGATCGTTAGGTTAAAAATGGGTTTTTTAATGGTGAGAGCATGAAGCAATGGAGCAGTCTGCCTAGACTGTAGGGTCTGTGTTAGCGAGGTTTTAAAGAGCAGGTGAGAGAAACCCATATGAGGAAGGGTCTGAGGAGAGCTGATCCTAGCATCAAGGGTCAGGTGATACTATCAAGCTCACACCCAAAACTGCCCTTGGCAGTACTGCACCTGTGCACTAGAAGGGGGTGTTAATTAAGGAGGATTGGCTGACGCCTGTGACCCAGGCTCAATTTATTCTAGCCCGTAGGGATTCCTCTGACACACAGAAATCACAGAGAACTCTGAACTCACAAAACCCCAACCCACCACTGTTCCTCTTAATTATTCTGTGTCATTGAACTTTTTATTTTTAATTGGCAATCATTTATTTTCATCCATCTGGGTGTGGAGAGACATGCCATGGAATTAAATATTAGTTCCTCCTATCTCACAGATGCTGAACTACCTGCCGTTTGAAGAAGCTGCTTCCAAGATTTTCCAGAGAGAAAGAGCTGGTGTTTTTCCTCTGTATCCTTCAGCTAAACTGTTGATCCCAGCTGGTAGAAGGAGATCCTGAGTATATTTTTAAGTTACCTATAAATTGAATTGACTGATTAACGTTCAGCTAAGCAGGCAAGATATTAGTCAGTGTAGTATTTTATCCCACTTAAAGAAGGTTGTCATGTGTTAATGAAAACAAACTCTGTAATTCAGGCCAGTCTAGGATTGCTTTGCTGACAACATTCTAGAAGTACTGCAATAGTTTAGCTTTCGTGCTCACTGAATTCTTCCTCTGACAGTAATATCCAACCTGCTCAGGCTTTGGCATTTTGCATGTTGAAGGTGCATAGCTAAAAAAGGAATTTTAGTGTTATTTCACAGGTAAAATATGTAAATCACTAAACTAGAAAAACACATCATTGCTAATTAATACAAATTATCTCTGAGGGCTAGAAAATTTGCACATCATTAATATGCAAGCAGTACATCCATTAATGTGTAATACATCATTATTTTGACAACTTTTACAAAAGAATGCCCTCTGATTTTTGTCAGCACAGCTATTGCTGGCTCACAGAGAGCACTGAACAATAAACATCTATTCTCTGAGCAGTGTTTATCGATGCCAAAGAAAAATCTTTGATAAAGTAAAAAACAGTGATTACGCCAAATAGATTCAGTAATTACAGAACAGTTTAAAAGGACCGTGTGAGGAGCTCTTTGTTTCACAAGCTGAGTGTTATATGCTGAGTGTTCCAGAGTACACTGTTTACAGCAGAGCTCCTACAAGGACCTATAGGTCTGAGCCAGGCTTCCTCCCTGTACGCAGGCATATCCAAACATGCCATCCAGAAAACTCCAAAGCACTGAGCAAGGAGCTGCTCCCTGGGGACAGAGGGAACTCCCAAACAGAGGAACAAGTGTTTGTGGTGCATCTTTTTTTTCACTGTGAATTTCACTTTGAGTTCTGATCTCCCAGGCTGGTGGCGTGGCTGCAGGAGATGGCCTACATCAGCCTCTGCTTCCAGAAGGGCCCCATCAGATTTGGATGTGGCTAAACGTGGAGGAGAGGGGGATGACCTTTCACTCTGGCTGCCCTGGAATTTCCTATGGATTTTGGTTCAGGCTCAACGAGTACCTATTAAGAAGGAAAAGTGAATCTCACATCTCTACTTGGTAAAGTCGTGTCAGAGAAAGGTTTTCAAGTGGGGCTGCCCGTAATTTGGGCAACAGCAGTAAGTAGTGGGCTATCAAATGAGAAAGCACTCCTCTGTCCTGTGTCAGGCCTAATTTCAGGACAGCATCTGAGTATGTGATTCACAAATGAAAGGAGATGCCCATCTCTAACATTATTTGGTATTTTTGCTGATGGCTGCCTCTCCAGAAGCATGCTTTTTGAATCCTGTTCCTATGTATCCAGTTCTGCTCATCCATTAGTGAGATAGCAAGTTCTCACCTTGGAACCATGGGCTTTAGTGGACACCAATGCACTTACATAGAGCAGCATATCAGTCCTGTACCTTTCAATTTCCAGTTATTAGTTTTAGTTCCCTCACTCAATACAGAAAGCTGTAGGAGCTTTACCTGACCTTCAAAGAAAAATGTCTTTGCCACAGTGCGTGTTAAGCTAGAATAACTCCCACTTCACATAAATGTGCTGAAAAACAGAACTCTCACCCTCCAAATGACCACTACAGTCTTTTTCACAGCATGAGTGACCCTAATAACTGCTCTAGACTTGGGAGTGAGTAATGCTGAAATACTCCCAGGGTGCTTTTTGAAAGCGGAAATTCATGCAACAAGCTTTTACTTGGAGGAATTCTCTTGCAAATGATAGAAAATATGGCCAGTTTCTGTCTGACTTCTCTATAGGGTCAGGAGGCTGGGGGGGTCTTAATCTTCGTAACAGATCTTCTTAAGAGATGGATCCCAATATTTTGATAGACAGTGCAGGTCTCAGAAGGATCTATAGTCTGAAATTATGCAGAAGTAGCATTTCCTTAGTAAAAACACATCAGGGACATGATAAACCCTTCTTATAAAAGATGCGTGTCAAGAAAACAAAATTAAACAGCACAGACAATGGCATATTATTTTACCTCATTATCTTATCTATTGCTAGCCAGCAAAACAGCCCTTTTCCCCCCTAAAAGAACAGAGTATCCTCCAATAAGTTGTCAGTAAGACTACATAATCGTAATTTGGTGGTGTCAACACCCTGTAATACTCCTATTTCCCTCCCAGAAGTCTGGCTCCAGTTGAAGCAATGCTGCTCATGAATAAAACAGAGCACTAAACATGTCTCAAATTTTACAGCTGCTATGTAAAAGTAACTATTTTGGCAAAGATGAAGAGTGTTAGCTGCCAAGTGATTCAATCCACACACATATAGTTAGCACCCCCTGCACATCTCAAACATAAGAATTAAATAAAATTTGACAATTAAACTGTATTTCAGTCTATTTAACTAGGCAAAATGCTTGTTCAAAAGGACAGCAATAATTTCTTCTTGGTATAAATTACTCTTCAGCTTGCTTCTAACATCTTGTGATGCAATCACAAGCTTTATGACATACAAGTACTGCCGCGACTAAGTGTGAAAAACGGACATCACCAAATAAACAATATTGCAATGAAAATCTGCTCAGCAGAGATTACAATGACTGCAGAAGGTAAGTCTATTTACTGATATTAGGGCTCATGCTACTCTTATGAAAGACGTGACAATATCTGACTTCAGCAGGACTGTTAACAGTAATTAATACAGACTTGGGGAACAGCAGATGGACAGTATTACAGGTAAGATAACCTCAGAGAAGCTGGAAAAATTTTTGCTTGTCAGGGAGCTGCAAAAGCAAGAGGGTTGATCCCTTGGAAAGTTTAGTTTGAAGCCAAGGAGATCCTGAAGCCGGCAGGACAAGTACCTCCCCTGCCACATCCCATGCCACAGTACCTGGGTAAGGCAAAAAGGACAGATCAGGTCCAACCAAGAATCCAGACCATAAAGCAACATGATAATACCAGGGCAGTATGGAATTAAATCCCCTGTTTGGGACTAATACTGGTCCCTCAATCACCTGGCAAACCCAAACTGTCACAGGAAAACAAAGGTCAAGACAGGAAGTTAGCCCAGGGGTTATGGTCTCAATCAGGTGATTCCATTACCACGTTAAACATGACTGAAGCTTTGCCAGAGACAAGTGCTCCTCCTACACAGCTCAAGCAAGGAATAAGCACCCAGGGTTGATCTTGAATAGAACAGCTGGGCCCATGGGTGTGGGTGGAAGCCCGAGGTGAGGTTGGTCAGGGACACTTAGGCTTATTGGTGCCCTCAGACAACTGACACTGCCATCTCATTTGCACTTCTTCAGTCATGTGTTGTCCATAGGCATACAATTTTTGTAAAATCAATTGAACCTGTGGCCTAAGTGCTTAAAAAAAATAATTACCTTATGTAAGTGAAAAGATCCTATGCAGCTGTAACCTGGACACAAATGAAAATGTGGCCTCTCTGCGGAGAACAGCCTCCTTCTCTTCTGAGGAAGTGACAGCATTGAGATGTGTTTAATAGGACGTTAGACAAATGTTACCATTAGAAAAATATTGTGACCTATTTGTACCCACTCATTATATTCTTGCTTAGTGTAGCATTTCTGGGCTGTTGTTAAAGTACGCTGGGGGCACATTAAAATGTACCCATGATAGCTTTGAGTAAAATGACTCTTTGCATCTTTGTGCTGAGCCTGGCAAAATAGTTTATTTGCTTTTGTTTTTTAACACTTTTACAAAACAAGATAAAACATGTCAGAGGGAAAGGTACTTTCAACAATGCAAATGAAGTTTAGAAATAACTAACTGAATTAATTTAAATATCACAAAGAGAATTTAAAAGGACTCAACTCTGCTTGCCATTTTTCAAAAATATTCATCTTGTAATTCAGTTTCTCTTTGAAAGCACATTCGGGAATAAATAAATCTAATGCAAGTGTTTTGTTAAAAGATTCTTTTTTTAGCCTAATTTATTTAATGTTTCAACATTTTGCCATGTTGAATTAGAAGGCAAGTTGATCTCATAAGCAGCTACTGCTCACATTCAGAAGCATCACATTCAAAACCTCATCTAAGGCTGAAGGGAACATCAGAATTAATGAGTTCTGCGGAATCATTCTGATCAGAGTCCCTGTCAGTCAAGCAAATATATGAGTCTAATGACACAGTTTGCCCACAGTGATCAGTGTCAAATATAGAAATACTTAACTAGATAGAGTCTGAACTTTCTGCTGACTTCAATGTCACCGTGAAAAAGTTTTAATATTATCTTGTCTATTCTGGAAGTGTAAGTGACAAACTGGTTTTCAGTTTTACAAATTTCATTTCCTAAGACCTGGGAAATCACGCCAACTGTTTCTGCCTTGGTTCCCCATCAGTAAAAAAGGAAAGTATTGCTTTCCTACATGAAGTAAGTCTTGCAACTTATTTTATTTTCTCAGTATTAGGGCTGTACACATTCCCAGATGGGTATGTTTTGTAATTTCTACCACCAGCACAGTCCCTTTGGGCACTTGGTAACTACTAGTAGCAATGCTCAGGTTGCATATGGAGACCGAATCATTTGCTGCTATGATTTATGAAGTGGTGTAGGCACTTTCTCCCAACACATGCAGTCTCATACAAGATAGGTCAGAAATTTTACCACAGCTAAGCTCATGGAGCAGTTAGAGAGCAGTTCCCAGGCTGTCCCTACTTCCAGAGATCAGATCCATGCTGGTGGAGCTGCAGCATTTAGCAACATAAACACAAAGTAAAGTAAATGGGACAGGTAGCCAGTGGGAGAAGGGAAGCTGGCAGCACTGGTTTAAAGAACCATGGACAGTAAACAACCCTAAGCCTTGCAGTGTCATTTAAGTCCATCTGTAAACTCCTTTGCAGAGCAGTGAAATATGTTCTACTCTGTTAGACTCCATCCTATCCACTTAGTCTCAAAGGTGCATCAATAAACTACAGTTTCATGTAAGAGACAAGCTGAAAGGAACTGTTCACCTACAATGAATAATAGGGCAGTAAAACAAAGCCTGAATGGGGACACGAGCTGTGGAGAATGCAGGGTTCAGAAGCAGTGACTACCAAGAAGTAGGTGTGCCTGTGACAGAACTCCCATTCCCTTGAAGAAAAAGCCAAGAAGTCACCAGGCTAAATAGACAGATAATTAGGTAGAATGACATGAAATTTTAAAAGTACTTTGCTGATGAGCAGGAATGGGTAACCGACAGTGGCAAAGCTGGCTGAATATTTCCTCTTGGTAAAAGCACTATCACTTAGGATTTCTGAAGAGTGTGTTCCTGTGTATAATTCAAGTGAAATGGCCTTCAGGAAACAGACGTGTTGGCTAAGGAGGGGAGATGGAGAAGCCGGTTCTTGCTCTAACTTGAAGGATTCTAGGGAATGGCTTCTTCTCCCTTTTTGCCTTTCACCAGAGATATACTCTTTTGACTGGTTACCTTAGTTTTCTGTCTACTCTGGTGCTAAATCAGATTAATTTGAGAAAAATCTAACCAACTATGTTATTTCAAAGTTGTCTGAGTTTTCTGTTTCATTTTCTTCCCTACCATGAAGCAGGGTGTATCACTTCTGCATCAAAGTTTTAATAAGATAGTTTCTTACATCTGCCTCCCTTGCTCTGCTGAGTACACAGGAGCATGCCATTCACAATAGATTATGTTGGTTCAGGCCTCACACAGCTTTGAGGCTTTTAACAAAATCTAGAGCACAAATAACAGTTGCTTTTAATTAAGAAAATGTTTTATCTGTTCGTTAGAGAGACTGTTCTATAACATTCTAGTAGATTCTAGTACTATTTGATTTCTTTGAGATATCTTTTTTTGTTAACGATCATTAAAAAACATTTGAGGTAGCATCAGTAAAAATGGAGATCTCCTCAGCATCTAAATGCCATGAAACTGCATGTTTTCCCTCACCTTTTTACCACAGATAAGCTCCATGAGGTATGAATCATTTTTATGAGTTAGATGGATGCATTTAATTTGTTGTTTGAAAGCAGACTTAAAGAGAAGGCGGATCACCAGCTTCTTTGTCCTTGTGGTTATAATATGCTGAGGAACAGAGGGTAGAGGGTGGGGCTCAGGAATGGAAGAAAGCTACTGATGTCTTGGTGACAAATTGTCTACAACTGTTATATATGACATTCACAGTTTCTTTTAGCTTCTTTCCAGATAGAGCATTTACCCCATTGTCCAGAACATTCAGAAACCTTGAATTCT